TCTTTACTTTGATCTTGAGAATCCTTAGTCGTTAACTCAGTGAGCTTATGCTTGTTTTGTTCATCATCAACCAGACTTTCCAGTTGATTTTTTCTTGTGCTCCAAGGCCATTGTGAATGTTCTTCGAGTTTAGGCACAATTCGTGATTCTTCTGAGTTAATCAGGTTGCCATCAGAATTGTTTGTCATGGCATTTAGAGTTTCTTATTCTTTTTTACCCTAAAGTTCTTGCTTTTGAACACTTATCGTGTTGTTATCAATGAGGTCCTGAACTCTATGCCTGAAAGCTCGGTATTCTTTAGTGCTATGAGCATAATTTTGATGCCTCAAACCGACGCGATGTATCACTGCCATGGAAGGGGGGAATCCTGGCTACTGCAAGTAATTCTATGAGCCTTGCATTAAGTAAGTTCTTAATGACATCGGTCATATGATCATTAATGGGAGTGAATTCCCTTGGTGTGGAAGTCTGCATCCTCCATGTGATGGAGTAATTTTCAGTCTTTTTTTGTGAATGGTTTATAGAAGGGTTGCTTTTCTTGATCATGTTTACCTCTCCTTCTTGAGAGGATTCTTCACCAATCGAGTTATCAACGACTCTAGCATCATCCTTCTTTGTTCCCTAATAACGCGCTACTCTTCCAAGCATAACGTCAAATGAGTAAGGGATCACCCCCTTGCTGAAGAAGGCGACATATTCCGGAGTCTTATTCTCCAATGCCATGTCTACCTTTGCAGGTTCAGGGAGTGGAGTCTCAGCGACTCTCATAACAACTTCTCTAACTCTTGTTATAAAATTAGAGGAACTTTTGTCCGATTCTTGTTTGGTGGATGTTAACTCACCAAGGGCGACGGGCTATGGCCTTCCCCCAAAATAATGGGAAGAAAATTGTCTAAACATTTCATCAGGAGTTGCTTGAGGGTTATCCTTCATGAACTTTTGATGCCACATTAGGGGCTTTCCTGACAAGCTATGCGAGAACATGACCTTAATATGGTTAGGTAGATCTCGCAGTGTATGTCTAATTAATAGGTAGGAATTAATGTGTGCCTTAGGATCCTCTTTCCCATAAAATTCTTTATGAATTGTGGCATCACAAACCCTACTGGTAGATCTTCTAGGTATCTTCGAGTTTCTTGTATATAGGCTTTTAGAGATAAGAAATCACATATTCCTATTTTCTCTAAAGAGCCTTGGAGGCATTTCATGTGGGTGAATTGGGTTTTTGGTATAACAGTGACCTGGCTCGGTTGTATGGCCATTTGGACCTAGATTTGCGGTGTGTAGCTTGCATAGACTGGCTGTTGGGCCCATGTAGTGGGTTGATCCAAGCATTGAGCATGGGGAATGTGTTAAACTTGGTGTGCCAATTGTCAACCTATAGACTCATCTGATTTGAAATAGGCCAGAGTTGACCCGTTGTCCTGAGTTTGGACTATGTGGCCATGCAAGAAGGCTCGCAGAATAGGATCACCACATGTCTAGGATGGGCGACTCGAGCTGCTATGATGACTAGAACTCTGACACTGGGCAGTGAGGTCTGCCTGTCCCTGACCTTGACTCGATGATTTAACCTTAGGGTGAGGATATTATCTTGTCCCAGCACTGGACTAAAAGAGTGAATGAAGGTTTTAACTACTGCCAGATGGAGTTTGCCCTCGAGATAATTATGAAGTCAAGTGATGACTTGAGTTAGACCCCTGGCCTTTAGTTGGTTGGATTAACAGGCTAGCACCCCTAAGGTTATATTTGTTTGAGCCGATAGGTTGGACATGACCTAGAGCATAAACTTCTAGCCTAACATATCTAGATTGACTACACTAGATGATATACCCTCGATTCGGTAGGTCTTAAAAGAATGCATACACCTTATGATTGTCTTGATATTGGGTTAGGTCAAAACTCTGACCTTTACTGGTGTTGGGTTGCTTGGGTCAACTTTTCCTAACTGTATATGAACCCACTTGCCCCCTGACTGGCTGATTCCTAAAACCAAAATGTTGGACTGCTGATTGAACGTAGGGGTTAAGCCGACTGGGATTGGTTGACTCAAAGATTTGGGTTGGGCCCTAACCTTTGGTGTGCCGACTTGATTTGAGGCAAACCCCCATGTCTAGGAGGATTTCCTTGGCCTAACCCCTTTACTGTTCAGGGTGTTACGGACCCTATTAAACTTCTGACTTGTGGCTTCCAAATGATGGCCCTGAGGGTGGCTTGGACCGCTAGGTATGGTTCCATATGGGTTGAGACTTGGCTCACTGACACAAGCACTATGGATTTGTGAGGAAGCACTTTGATGGTGACTCTCAGACTGACTAAGTTCTCTGAATCTAGACTAGGCTGAAGCTGTAGGGTTGAACCTTGCTCTGCTTTGATCTTTGGCCATGGCTCCTTGACTTATGCTAAACTAGACGGTTAGATTTAGCTTGAAGATGGACATAGGCTAGACTTTGACTCGAGCCCGAATGGATTTAGCTGGACTAAGACTCAACCTTAGCTAGACATAAACTGAATATAGGTAAAACTGAGGCCTAGACCAAGGGTGAGCCTTGTTTGGACTTATGGACAGACTTGACGTCGAAGCCTGGTTTGGACCTGATTCAAGAGTCGGGCTTAACTGGGCATGAGCCTTGTCATAGACCTAGAAAGACTTGGGCTTCGACTTGATGAGCTTAGGCTTGAACCCCAAACTAAGGGGAACCAAATCTAATTCCAGGGGCAACTCTAAATCTAGACCGAGGTTAAGACTAGACTCGAGATCTTGATTAGACTTGATGGATTTTGGTTTGAACCCTGAACTAGGGTGAATCTAATCTAGTCCTCGAGGTAACTCTAAGTTTAGACCTATGCTAGAACCTAGACTGAGATCTAGACTAGATGGGTATGAGTCTTGGCTCTGACCTAAAGGGAGTCTAGGTTCAGACCTGGGTGTGAACCTGGTTTGGACCTGGGCTGAGTTGGTTCCAAACCTAGACTTGATCCTAGAGAGTTTCGAATTTATACCCAGTGTGGACCAGGACTAAGATCTGGGTGAGATTTGGTGTGAGCTTTGGGTCGCACCAAGAGGGAGCCTCGGTTGGAACCCAATTGAGAACTTGGTTCGGACCTGGGCTAAGCAGGAAACAAGCCTGAACTCGGACCCAGCAGGGTTCAGCTCGGACCAGAAGTGGATCCGGACTGAGATCTAAGACTAAGAAACTCTGATCAACAAACAAAGCAATAGAAAACTTTGCCCTAAACTATGGGTAGGTTTGGTCTAAGTGGGTTCCTAACTACATAAATGCGGCTAAACTGAGTGAGTTCCCACGTAGGTCCTAGCCACCTGTTAAAGGCATCAGCCAAGTCCTACTGCGTTTGGAGTTGTTTGGAGGCTAATGATTACGGAGGGACACTCACTGTTAAAGTTACATGAATCGTAACAGCCTCGGCTCCCAAAGCTAGGTGCCCCTCACAACAGTTAAGGTTGAAATTTGGGAGTTTTCAAAAAAAATTGCTGGTTTCCCGGGCTTCCCCAGTCCATTGTGTGCAGGGGTGTGTAAAGAAACAAGCAAGTGAAAATAAAGTGGTAAGCAAGTAAACACACAAGAAAGAGATGTGAGCACTTAGTACAAACCGTGCCAAGTGATATATGCTTTGAGTCAGAGTTCAACCGATCGAGAGCACAGTTTAGGTGTGGGGGTTAGCAACCCCCAAGAAGGTGTGTAGTTATAGAAATTGGAACCAAGTGCAGTTCGTGCCTAGATGAGTGTGGCCTGAGTCAAGGAAGACTCGATCAGGGCACATTCACAGGAGGGTGCGAGCAACCCTCAATTATATATATATATATATATATATTGATGAACATGATTAAACTAAGTACGATAAAACAGGGAAATCAGGGTGTCCAACAAAATTAATTAAAATAAAATGAAATATAGAAAGCACAGATAAGAAGGACTTGCTTCAAGCAAAATATTTTTTTCTATTTTTTAAAATTTTATTTTGATTCCAAAATTTATTAACAAGCAAGAAAAAGGCCATGGAATAGGAATGTGGATCCAAAAAAATATTTGTGGACTTATGGGTCTGGGCGACATAGGTAGTGCCGCCTAGACCAATTTAGGCGGCACAAGCAGTGCTACCCAAGGCAAACTCGGTCTCGGATTACAGAGACCCTGTACCTTGATCAAAGTCAGTTTTGAGATTATTTTTTAGCAAAAAACAATGGAAAATAGTGAAATAAAACTTGTATTTTGGTCTGGCCTGTCAAAGGAGGGTGCAAGTGACCCTCTAAATATTTATTTTTATTTTTTTAATTTTTATGCAAGGTTAGTCTAGACTTGAGAACAATAAGCAAAACATGGGTGGAGATAGAAGAAATTAAAATAAAATAAAATAAATATGCACAGATTAACATTGGTCATGTGTTCTATAAAATATTTTTTTATATTTCTAAAAAAATTATTTTTGGCCCAAAATTGGTGAGAAGCTAGGGAAGAAGTCTTGGAACCAGATAGTTGTTTCCCATGAATTTTTCGAGACTCTTGGGTTGGGGCAACACTAGGTGTGCAACCCAGACTAGGTTGGGTGGCACCAGGTGTGTCGCCAAGGCACAATGAGGTTTTATGTAGATTTCGGGACCCCGAACCCAAAACCAGTTGCTTTTTCAAGTTTTTGAGCAAAAAAACAGTGAATACAAGTCATATTTCGTGCCCGGATCTAGCTTGAAATGCCCTACGGTGGGTGTCAACATGTTTACGATGCAAGTCGGGACATTCTCTGAATGAGATTGGACTAGATCTGAACCACAAACTGATTTCTTAAGAAAGTAATAGAGAGTGGGATAATCAAACTCTTATATGAGCCCAGATCTACTCGGCAGTGAGCAGATCTGCTCTCAGATCAATGGTAGAGCCAACATGGATCCAAAATACAAAATACAACATAAAATGCAATAAAATGGATTGAATTTTAATAAAAATAAATAAATATAGAAAATAAGAATGTGGGGAGCATTGCAGGCATCGTGCCAGATGGTCGACTATACCAACTTACAGACATCAAACAAGCGCTGAAGGAGGAGATAGGGGAGGAGGTTGGGATCCGATGCAGTACCAACTTGGAGGGAGAATTCCAACTCTATGAAGTGTATGTCTGCATCGACAAATCCTTCGCCACAGGTGTGATACCTTGCCCGACCTTGCCCTATTTTACATGCTCAGATGAGATACTCTTCCCTGCCTTCAATGTCCAAATGCTCAAGAAGAATGGGACCAGGAACTCACTCGAGCTCCAAGTTGAATGATAGCCATGGCACTAAGAGAACATGTTGCTTCTTTTCTCATTTCGAGCTTATCCAGTGTGTTGTCCAAGAATTTGTAGTTAGTTTTGGGCTTGATGTGAATAAGATTGTGGTTTGTCTTTGCAAACATTTCCAACAAAAGCAAACAAAACAATGCAAAGCTAGAAAGCCGTTTATTTTATATTTTTGGTAGATCAATGGGGAATATAAGCCCTACCCATTTTATAAATAGTTAGTGGTTTTTGAATGGTCAATGGGAATGGAAACCTAGACCGGTAGCTGAAGCTCTAGTAGTGCTACCACCACGACCTCAATCCTATTCCAAAAGCTAAAAAGTTAATGTCCCAAATAATAGAAACAAGGAAAGAAAAAAGAAATTTAATATCCCAAATAATAGATAAGAGGAAGAAAAAATATATTAATAATAAAGAAAATAAAGAATAACTAGTATGAGGGAATGAAATAAGTAACTTCAAGTAGGAGAATCTCACAAGTAACAACAGCTTCATGGGAACTCTCTCCTTTTATAATAAAGCAGTTGGACATCGTCCTTAAAATAAAGGATAATTATTAAAGAAATTATAAAAAATATCCTTATATTGTCAAAAAAATTTAAAAATGGTTGAGGTTTCTATAAGGCATAGGTTTTGTGAAAACACAATAAGGCCTCACGTCAAATCTTTGTTTGGAAAGCACTTTCAGCAATGTAAATCTCTATAATGTAATTTCTAACACCGACAATAAAATTTGATATTAAAAAAATGGTATAGATAGATCTTGCGGATCTGCGAACATTTATTTTAAAAGCAAAATGGATGGTCTAGATAATTTGTTACAATATAAACTATTCTTAAAGCTTGAATTCCTAATTTTTTTCACAAGTACACTGTTAAAGTCCAGATGATCGATGATCGATGTAAAGGTTTTTCAATACTTGACTTACAATTTTTGGTGATTTATGAAGTGAGGATTTACTTATGTTAATAAGGCTAGAACCCTATCAAACCATTTTCTTTTAAAAATGCCAAATTTTTTAAGAATTACTTTCATACCCAACTTTTTTTTTTAAAACCTAGACTACCCTTCACAACCCGAACTTGCTTTAGGGGCTTCTCTTGGGCATCACAACGTTAGTCGAGCTGTAATGAACTATTACGACCGTATTAGGGCTATGATGCCCAATGCACCATGTGCATCAGGGCTCTAATAGGGAAGTGATGCCTAATGAACTCTCATTTATGTACCCTCGCATGCATCAAAAGCGTCCAAGGAACCCAACGGGTTGCCTAGGGCATCAAGGCCCTTATGATGCATTATCACGGCTCTAATAGGGTTGTGATGCCCAAGAAGCATAGCAGGAGGTCTCTCCACCAACGCAGCCCTATTAAGGCCCTGAAGGGCATGTAGAGTAGACAAAAGGTTGGGATGTAATCAATAAAAAAGGAGTATTTTTTATATTATTAAAAAACATATGGATATTTTTTATAAGTTTTCAAATTATTATGACTCTCTTAGACCAAACCTCTCCTTCACCTATTCTTTACCTTTGGCGTACTCCAAAGCTAGACCTTTCTCTAACCTCTCAAAGTTTCTTAAATCTCTTTATCTTAGGCTCTCTGGATCTTTTCTTATGCAGTTAAAACTTTATGCTCAAAATTATAGGGCATCCTCTCTTTCTTATTCAAGGCCTCTATACTCTATGGTTGAGATTATCCTAGGGTTTCTAAGTATCTCTGTTCTTTGATGTGATGGTTCAATCTCACGCCCTTGGATCTAAGCTTCAAGAGCCCTTCCAAAAGCCTTGATCACTTGATCGCAATCCCCATTAGGTTGAGATTCTCACCATCAAGTGCTCTTTTTTCTAGGATATTGCCCCTTGAATCGAAGTACTCTCTTTTTCTAAATTACTTGGTCTAAAGCCCCTTAAGTTGAGATCCTTATACCAAGGTTTGGAACTAAAGCTCCCCCCACCCCTAGAAATGTGTCAAGCACTCATGGCAAGATATCCATTGTGTAAAGACCACCTAAGGTCCCCCAAATGACCAAGGCATGGGGGCATTTGTAGATTTTAGGGGGTGTAATTAAAGTTTTTAGGCCAAACGTATTTCATATTTTTTTGTTGAAATTTCAAATTTTCAAGGGAGCCAAGCTTATTTCATATTTTTTGTTGAAATTTAAAATTTTTTGTGCCATTGAAATTCCACCATCGATTTAGCTTTGAATCAATTTATTGTTGGGCTTTTTCAATGATCAAATGATTTCATTCAATGTGTAGCTATGTGGAGCAATCCTGTGAAAATTTGGAGCACTTTCTGCTTGAACAATTTTACAAGAATGATATTACACAATCATAGGTATTTATAGAAGATACAAGAGATTGCAATCCCTTGATTGTAAGGATCTATTGAACAAAAATGGAAATGTACATGCTTATCCAACTAGATGGAAAAGTGTGCAATAATACAAAATTTTGAAATTCAATATTTGAATTTCAATTAAAAAATCTAGTAACTCCCAATACTGCCCCTCTTGTTGGATCGTAAATATTGAGAATGCCCAACTTGCCTATGAGAAATTGAAATTTATCTTTCCCAAGAGCTTTTATGAATATATCGGCTCGTTGAGTATCAGTCGGGACATGAACAATATGAATTAGATCATGTTGAATTTCTCTCGAACTAGATGACAATGAAGTTCAATATGTTTTGTTCGTTCATGGAATATTGGATTGGCAGCAATATGTCGGGCTAATTTATTGTCACAATAAAGCATCATGGAGCCATTATGAAGAATGCCAAGATCGGACAAGAGGTATTTTGGCTAAATAAATTCACAAGATGCAACTACCATGGAACGATACTCCGCTTGCACAGATGATGATGAAACTGTTTGTTGTCTTTTAGTTTTCCAAGATATGGGGTTGTCTCTTAACATAGTGCAATAACCAGTAGTTGAGCGCTTGGTCATTGGGCAATTAGCCTAATCAAAGTCATAATGGGCAGAGATTCGTATACTACTATTAGCAGAGAGCAGAGTTCCCTGGCTAGGTGGCCTTTTATATAACAAAGAAGTCGAATAGCAATATCTAACTGTGGTTTTCAAGGTTTATTCATGAATTGACTGAAGAGTTGGACCGGGTAGATAATGTCTTGGCCTTGTAATTGTAAGGTGTAGAAGTCTACCAAGCAAATGTCGGTAAGGCGTGGGGTCATCTAAAAGAGGTTCATCTTTGTCATTCAATTTAAATTTTGTTCTATTAGGAAAGATACAGATTCTACAGCCAAAAGACCTATGTCATGAAGAATCTCAAAAGAGTATTTCCTTTGTGTGAGAAGAAGTCTTCTCTTAGAATGGAAAAGCTCAATGCTAAAAAAGTATATCCAAGGACCTAAATCCTTGTTATGAAATCACTCACTGAGAAAGGTCTTGAGAGTATTAGTCCCATTAATATCACTGTTAGTAATCACAATATCATCTACATAGACTACGATATATGTGCATGAACATCAGTAATGCTCATGAAAAAAGAATAATCCGCCTTTGATTGAACATATTTTGTTGTTAGTAACGCATCTGAAAATTTGGCAAACCACTGCCTAGAAGATTGTTTAAGTATATAAAAGGACTTATTCAAATGGAAAATGCGGTGCTCTCCCTTACGTGAGAAACCTAGTGGTATCTCGTGAATACCTCTTCATGTAAATCACCATACAAAAAAGTATTTTGGTTATCCAATTAGTGCAAAGACCAATTTTTAATAGCAACAATTACAAGAAGATAACGAACAACTGTAAGCTTTGCTGCAGGAGCAAAGGTTTCATCATAATCAAACACTTATTGCTGGTTATATCCTTTGATGACCAATCCAGCCTTGTAACGCTTGATGGACACATCCACTTTGTACTTTACCTTGTAGACCTATTTGCTACCAATAGGTATTTTGTTGGGGACTAGCTCAACCAAAACCATGTATTATTTGCTTCTAATGCAATGATCTCTTTGTTCATTGCTTCTCTCCAATTAGGATCAGTAGATACTAGCTTGAAAGAAGTGGGTTCAGTTGTGGTATAACAGCAAAAGTTTTGCCAGAGGTTGAAAGTCAGTCATCGGAGACCCCAACACTTAATGGATAATGAACATCTTGAACTAGTTGAGGAGAAGTTGTAGCAGGTTGAGAATGCATAATGATAAAACAAATCTTATAGATATTTTGAAGGTTAGCGATACCGATCGGAATGTCACGGGACACTTGGAGGTGTGGGTGATGATGGAGAAGAAGAAGGTGATGGAAGCGAGATAGAGGTTAGAGATGAAGTTAATTGCTCAACAATGTGGGATGAATCAGTAGGGTATGTTAATCTTATGTTAATAGGAATGACAGGTGATGGATGTGGGAAAACAATGTGTGATGGGATTGGGGATGATGAAGACTTGAAAAATGAAACACAATGCCTATGAAAAACTTCTCTGCTGGTAAAAACTTCATGGATATCAAGGTAATATAAACAATATGATGTTTTACTATGAGGGTAACCAATGAATATACCTCAGCGTGACTGGTGTCAAATTTATGTCGATGATGTATGTTATACATATAGCAATGGCAGCCAAATACCCTTAATTGTTTATACGTTTGAGGAGAATTGAAAAGAGCATCATGTGGCTTTTTTCATTTAAAATAGGGGTAGATAAGAGATTGATAAAATATGTTGTTGTAAAAGTACAATCTCGAAAAACAAAAGAGATAAATGCGCCTCAAAATGTAAGGCCCGTGCAACCTCAAGGAGGTGGCAGTGTTTACTTTCAGCAATAGCATTTTGTTAGGGTGTTGAGATACAAGAGTGATGTAAGAAGTAAGGAGATTGATTTTAAGATGAAGGGTTGCCAGCCATAGCTCAAAGAATCAAAATCTCTAAAGTTGATTTAAAATCAGCAACAATGTGGTTTCTCTCTCTAAAATTTCAGCAATTGTTTTGACTATTTCTCTCTCTAAAATTTCAATATTTTTAAAGAGAAAGAGTCGAAACAATTGTTGAAATTTTAGAGAGATAATGAGATTTGTAAAAATGTCAGATTTCTAGCTCTGGAACATATACATTGTAGATAATGAGATTTGTCAACCAAAAAAGTGAAACTCTTAGATTTCCCAGACTAT